CTTACGCGATTGTGAAGACATGACGGTTTTCTTTTAAACATGTGGTTTTAATATTTTTTATTTTACTTTTCAATTTATTAATGTGCATATGCAAAGTTTTTCGGATAATACATTGACTCACCTATTTTTTGTTATTGGGTTATTGCAAATTCGCGTATAAATTTTGCTTTGGCAAGCAATTTGATTTGTAACCAAATTGGAAACAATATAATTTGTTGCTGTTACAGTATTTAATATGACAACATGCCTGGGTTATTTTTTTTTATATCCCCTTTAGGAGCAATTAAGTTATGAAGACAGCAAAAAATTTTATCATACATAAAAAGTTTAAAAAACAATAACAATTCAAAGGTAAAACAGAAAAAAAAACTGGTCGCTGACATATTTATTGAGTAGGTGGTATGCCGAACCAGGTGCTTGGCTCATAACGCTCACGGCAAAACGTAAAACTTGTAAAGCTTGTGTGTAAGTAGGTGGACAGAGAATGAACCCGACAAAGGCACATATTTATATTTAATATATAACCATCATTTAAACGCATATATACACACATATAGTTTTATAGGTGAGTTAGTGTGACCGCAGCCATCAATTGCTGGTCTTTACGCTTTCGATTTCCCAATTGCTTTTAGATTTTCTTAAATGCACCTAATAGCTGACTGGCAGCAGGCGCACACAAGTTGCAACAATTAAAATCAACTTGAAAAACTGCTACCTACAATGTTAGCGTGCATACTCGCCCATATCTACAACAAATATATGTATGTACTACATGAATGAATGAATGTGGAGTACATGAGCGGCTATGTAGCATACAATGCGCTTCCACTTGTAACTTCACAGTTTCTACTAGACGAAAAATCGAAAAATGCTGTTTGACATTTGATGATATCATATTTTTTGCCTTTATGCTGCCGCTACGAAATCCGTGGGTAAACAAGTGCCAACGACTGGGCTAGCATACTGGTGTTTTGCATACATATTGAGCACACGCACATTGTAGATAAATATGTATTTACGCTCCTATATTGAAATCTTTTAAGTTTTATGTTGTTGTGCTCGTTGCAAGTGTGTCGCTTAAAAATAGATAAGAACGCACACATAATACATACCTGTCTAGTTTCTTGCTGTCCAGCATCCATCATGCAATTATATCCAGAGCAGACGTATATCTTCCCAAATGACCAGCAGCGGGTCGTTTCAAGAACCGATCCCTCCGATAGTCGTCGTTGTCGTTGTGGTCGTGGTCGTCGCAATCGTCTTTCGCTCAGCCACGAGCACCGTAATCCACAAGAAGACAACTGCAATCAATCCTTCGATTCATGCAACAAAAATAAAAAGAAGAAAGCAAACAGCCTTCCTAAACGAAACTTTCTTTCACACGTATCTCATAGACAAATATTTCAACAACAAATTCCACATTAATAAGCATAAGCTAGTGCAGTTTTGGAAAGGTGCTACGCCTGCTTAAAACTTGTGAATCACTCTCTGGCGTGTTTTTTCTTCTTTTTTCATTTGTTATAATGCTTTAAGCCCCACCGGCGTGGGGGTTTGCTAGTAAAGATTAAACGCACCAGTGCATCAGCTGTTGCGACTTATCGATATTTAGCCACATAACACGCACTTCCCCAACACATTTACTTCAAATTCAATTAATTATATAAACAATTAACAATTTGTTTGGCTTTTCTTTCACTTCGCTGATGTTATTTGGATAAATACAAAGATTATCTCATTATTAAATTCTTTGCTCAAAAATTTTCTTCAACTTTACACCAAAACGACAAAAAAAAACAACACTTCTCGTCTGCTCGTTCGCACGCACACTTTCTACATGCAACTGCAAGCACTGGCTTTCTCTGTCTCACACATATGTTTAATACGCGAGCCACGACCCTAACCGAAAATGGGAGTCGCGTAGTGAAATTTTATTCGGCCGCTCGAGAAATTTGCGTTTTTGCATTTAAATATTACAATTTCACTATGTATTCCAATTGATTTCTTTACCGTCTGCCTGCTAATACCAATTCAATATTACTCACAATTAATTTGCAATAAAATGTTAACAATTTTCGTTTAGCTTTCGCAGCTCAATAACAGCAGAGCGAATTTGATCGAGTGAAAGAAAACGTCATCTGCGTTGTTGCCAGATATGTGTAGTGGAGAAAATGAGTAATATTTGAAATGACAACAGCCGCTGTGACGTTACGCTGCGTTACGTAGTGATAACGAAACGGAAGCTAGGTAATAGGAAAAATCGGTTGGTAGCTGAAATTAAATTAAGTATATAAGAAAATAAAATTGTTTATTGTGAATTGATTATTTAATTAATTATATATGTGTATCAGTTTGCTTCCAATACATATGTATTTATGTAAATATATTTTAATCTTCACTCTTCTACGAATTTAGGTAGCTTGATTAGCAAAGCATAGTCTGATTTAGTTCGGCGTAAGCTGCAAGGAGATCTACGTTAGAATTCTGTGTGGTTAAAGTGTTGCTTACATTGTAGTCCTTACATATCTGAGATTTCAGCATAAAAAATCAATGGATTTCAATTGAACTTTTAGAACTTTTAAGTACACTTGCAGTAAAGCTGTACTATCTAATATACTCGTATGTACATAGAATAAAACAAATTTCATAAATAGGTTATGTAGTTCCGAATGAGGTCATTCCAACTTTCTAAAAGCTATTTGATCATCTCTAGTCTTTCAATTCGCGACTGAGCGAGTTTCTCACTTTCATCTCAAAATTTATATATACTTACTTGAAATTTGAAGATACCACCAAATTAAATTTCTTCTACACTGTTAAAATAAAGTAAACGTACGCCGTTTTATAGAATTCAAAATGTGTATGTATTATAATTATTAATTATATTTTTTATTTTTAAATTAGTTATTATTTAATTTACATTTTCAATATATTTTACAAATATTAATTAAAAACACTAAATATTACCGTACGAAACAGCTATGTAATATTTTATTTTTTCACAATACTATACTCGTACTTGCAGTTATAGCTAAAAACTGTAATACAAAAAACAATTTACGCCAGTTTTGATCGATATGGTAGGGATAATTTGCAACCACAAACAACATTTTAGAACATTTCGGAATTAGTTAATTTTAAAATTACAAAAAAAAAATATTAAATTAATTAATAATATTATTATTTAATTAATATTATTAGATTTAATTTTTTAATTAAACAAATTTACTTACTGATGTTTAATTAAAATTATTTCTAATTTTAGTAAATAATATTTTTTTTTTGTAATTTTAAAATTAACTAAAAACAAATAAGTATTTAATTACTTACTTATATTAGATTTATTTTTTATAATTAAACAAATTTATTTAATAAAATTATATTAATTTTAAAATTAAAAAAAAAAGTATATATAATTTTTATTAAATACATTTTAAAACTAATCAATCCCGAAATCAAAAACATGTATTTAATATATAATAAAACAAGAATTTAAAGTTAAATTATTTTAATTTTAAACTAAAAAAAAGTAAATCCGCAAAATATTTTTGTAATAAAATCGTATTGATTTTCAAATAAAAAAATATATATAAAATACATAAATTTTTATTAATTTTAAAATAAAAAAATACACATATAATTTTTATGAAATAATTAAGTATATAATTTTTATTAGGGTATTCAATAATTATATATACAACCAATTTTATTAATAAATTTATATTTGATTAAATAAAATTAAAATCTTATTTAATAAAAAAAGAAATGTATTAAAAAACTAATTAAAAATATGTAAAAAAAAATTAAAACAAATCCTTTTTATTTTGTTGTTGCAAAATTCGCATAATCTTTTAATTACCAATTCTTTTTTAACATGCGTAATTTGTTTCACAATTATTTAACAATATTAAAAGCAAAAAATTTAAAAAAAATTATTATTTTATTTTAAAAAATCTTTTTGCTTATAAAGTCACTATTTGAATAAGAACTTGCAGTTTTTGAGAATATTTTCATATTTTTATTAATTTGTATATTTGTTTTTAGATTGCTAGCATTGTTCTAGTTAAGTATTTTAAGTTATATTTTATTAATTATCTTTCACTGTGAGCAAAAAAGCAGAAAATTCTTGCTAAATATCGGCTAAACTTTAAAATACTAAGCTATTGTGTGTATGTATGTATGCTTGAGTGTATTGTATAAGTTTATATACGATACGAGTATATATGTATGTATGAAAAATTTTTGTGTTTGTGTCGCTGTGATTAATTGTGGTTTTTATTTTATTACTTGTATTATAATATTATATATATTTTTTTGATAAATGTATGCTGATAATTTTATTATATTAATTTTGTTGTTGTTGTAGATTTGACAGAAAGTTCGTATACAAATTTTTCTAAAATTCATTAACTATCTACAGTGTTTACTTTAGTTTAAATTAAAATTTTGGTTTTGTAATTTTTTTTTAGTTTTCATATTTTTTATTTTTTAATTCGTTTTTTGTTTGTTTGTGTGGTTTGGTAATATTATATAAATATTTGATATGAATTGTTGCTGCTATTTACAGTTGATTATGTCGGCTTGTTATTATTAGTCGTGTTTTTAATTTTTTTATAAATAATTTTAAAATTTTTATATAATTTTTTTTCTTGAATAAGTAAATTTATTTACAAAGCAAAGTAATAAAATAATAGTAGATACTTAAAATAATAATTATCGTTTTTTTTTATTTAATATTCCAAAACTTTTTCCGCTTCTTTGTCTGTAAGTATATATAATTATTAACAAATTAACTGTAAATTTTTATATTGCACGCGAAAATAAAAATTAATACATATATTTAATGATTTTATTTTACTTAACTATTTATTATATAATAATTATATTTTTTTCAACTACATACTAACTTATAGTACAATACATATATATTAAATATTAAACGAGTTTTCATGTTATGCATCTATTAACGCTTAATGTTGAAGAAAACGATATATATATATATATTTTTTTTTAATTGAGTTTATTTTTTACAAATTCAAATTTTCTATTTATGTATTTCCTCTTACTCAAATGTTTGTATGTATAAGTATTTAAATTAATTTTTAATATTTTTTTTATAATTTATTTTCTTTTTTTCTTTTGATTAAACATCATTTTTTCCACCTACTTCTTTCCTTAGCTCTAGAAAAAAGATATGTAATTTCGTATATAATTTTTTGTTGTAACCAAATCGCAACTGCTTATATGTCCTATGTGAATATGTATGTAGTAGATTTCTTTGATATTTGCTGTTCCCATATTTGTGTAAACCAATGCGCATTTTATTTTGTTGATGTCACCAGTTGGCTTGTGCCATAACCTTGGGTGTTACACGTAGGTAGCGTGAATGGATTGAAGCTGAGGCCGCTCACTCCTGGAAGATATAGAAAAAAATTAGATTAAAATTTAAATTTTTCATTTAAATATAATATATTTGCTTTATAATTTAAATGTCTCAACTATGCAAATATCGACGATGTAATATGGCTGAGCGAAAGCTTCAACTCAAAGCTTTTGTCCGTTGCAGCTTTCATTTACTTCAACTCAATGCTTTCATACACCCAAACCAATTAGAAATAAAGCGCAAAACTTTCACAAAGCTTGGAAAGCTCACAGAAAACGAAAGCTTTTAAAAGCTTCGGAGCTTTATAAGAGCTTGTAGCATTTTTAGAACTTTGGTATTTTTAATGAATGAGAAATTTTAAAATGCGCAGGCCTTAAAGCTATGAAAGAACTTTTTAGATATTCCAGTTTAGAAAAAATACTTCAGAAAGCTAAATTTTTCAAACAAAAGACAGACAAGCAAAATTGCAAATAAGCTTTAATACTTTATAATTTTTTTTAAAAAGCTTTACTGCAAAATAATTTTTATTTATTGTAGAAGTTCGAATTCGAAGCATAAGTGAAAGTTTCGATTAATTTCAAAAAGAACATTTACCGCAAAACTTATAATAGGCAGTTTTAACGCAGCTTTTAAGTCATACAGAGCTCCAGAAAAGCTTAGACATTAAGCTTAGACTTTAAGCTTTTATTAGTTTGAACACTTTAAATATTTTCTAATAAGAAATTTAGAAGTGAAAATCTAAGCGGAAGTAAAGAAATGAGGTTTTGAAAATGAAAAAGCTTTAGAATAGCTTTAGCACTGCTTGCAAACAGAAATAAACACTTCATCATTTTTAGCTTTCTAAATATTTTATTATAAGAAACTTAAATCTAAAAAGCTAAGGGGAAATAAGGAAACAAAATTTTGTAAATGAAAAAGCTTCAGCTTAGCTTTTTTTTAATTCTTTAATATAAAACAATAAACAATTAAGCCATTATTTCCTTATAAAATAATTTTTTCAAAAAGCTTTGTACATCAAATTGTTGCCTTATTTTTTTAATAAAATATGCTTTAGATTGCAAACAGCACGAATATTTCATATCTCACATAAAAAAATATTCGATGATAAAAAATCACAACATTTTTTTAAAGCTTTCAAAAAGCGTTTTTTTTATTTTTTTTATAATGTAAAATAAAAAGCAACCAAGATATTATTTGTTTATCATATAAGCTTTCCTCAAAAGCTTTGTGAATACATTTTTTTTGTTATTTTAAGAAATACTTTTTTTTAAGCTTTGTAAATAAAAATATTTAAGTATGAAAAATCCAAAAAAAAATTTTCAAAAGTTTCCAAAGAGTTTTTTTAAATAATTGTTCTTAAAAAGCTTATAAAAATGGTTTATGAACATTTTCAAAATTGTTCAAAAGCTTCCAAAGTTTTTTTTTCAATTCCTTAATACAAGAAAAAATTAAGCTACTTTTTCTTGTTAAAATAAGCTTTCTCAAAAAGCTTTATAAATAAATAATTAAAGTATTTTAGGAAATATTTTTCTTTAAAGCTTTGTAAATAATATTATTTATGTATGAAAAATGCAAAGCTGTTGTATGTACAAAATTATATATGGATGTATAGAGTGAAGTGCTTTTTATTATTTTACTTTTTAGGATCAATGCTCAGGCGCGTACCCGGAAATGGTTACCTGTCGTTTTTTATGCAAGAAATTGTAAAAAAATATTAAGGAAAAGAGTGTGAATTTGTGAGAACTGCTGGTACGCACCTGCGGGGTTTTTAGTCTCAAAAACTGGACAGGTAACCAGTTCGTTGTCGCCGCAGCTCAAGCGCATAGTGCGACGTGGAAAAACAAAATATTCCAAAAAAAAAAATGTAAAACTACTTTTGCCAATATATTTGCATAGTTGACATTTCATTTGCAACACAACTAAATAACTTAAATTAAAAAAAAAATATTTCTCATTTTTTATACCGTTAACTTTTCACAGAGCAAATATGGTATGTCTCGGGCTTTACGCTCTAAACGCTCTACACGGCGGCTGTTGCAATTGAGGCAGCTGGATTGTGCCACGGCTGGTGCCCATGGTGGTGGTAGTGGTGCGGATGTGTGTGGTGGTGTTGCACTAGCGCCTGATGCCACGGTGACGACACTGTTGAGATTAATGGCGAAAAGGCACTGCCTGAGCATATTTCGTATTTTTTTTTGTTTTTTTTTATTTTGTAAATTTTTGTATATCAAATAGTGTGTTTGTTTTAATTTAACAAATTTTACAACATTCAATATAAGTTTTCGCAAAACAAAACCAAAAATTACAATACCGTTACGTGTAAAAATAATTTTGTATAATTAATTGTGTGTGTTAAAATTTTTTATGATTCAAAAATTTTTTTTTATAAAAAAAACCATGCAATGAAAAGAGAAAAAAGAAAAAACAAAATCGATGTTGTAGCAACTAAATTAATTATTTACATACATTACACACTAATAAAAAAATTAATATACATCCTGAAAATGTTATAACAACGAAAATAAATATTAAAAATTCATTTTATACCTCGCTTTTATTTAATAATTCACCAAAAAGAATTTTTTGGCACACAAAATGCTTAAATATTAAAATAAATCGAAAAAATACTTTCAGGAATATTTAATAAATTTTCGCAATACTGTATAAGAAATGCATAAAGCTACCAAAACTACAATATTGTGCATAAATATAGGCACAATAATGACTGAATACAAAGTCACGTGGGTTGAATGTAACTTTTTAGTGACGTCATATTAGCAACAGTCTCTAAGAGAGTTGGTAGCGTGAAAACTGACAAAGAACCAACTTTTCCAAACGAATATCTCCACAGCTGATATTCTAAATTTCGAATATCGGTTATTGTCAATTAAACTTTGTCTAAAAAATTTTGAATGGAACGAATAATTTACTACATGTCAAGGTCCTTTCACCAGTACGGTCGCTCTTCAGTGTTTTCTAGTTTACAGTAATTTTCATTGTTATTTTTAATTTCTGTTTCAAAATTTCTGACACAAAGCCGTAATCCATAATCCACACTTTTAAAACACAAGTCTTTGGTTCACCACTTGGCACTGGATTCTATAATCACTTCCAGTTTTGGCGACTTTATTACTGGAGAGCCCACTCAGGTATTTTCAATATGCCTTAATTTATATTCTTGCTTGCCTCGAATGGAGAGGGTTAAAAAAATAAATGACAGCTTTTCCTAGTAGGACCTTGGTAATTATAATTTGCATGCGTGATCTTTAAGACCAAGGTATCTACTAAAATTACTTTTTATGTCTAGGGATACTTTCTACAAACACAGACGTTTGGAGACATGCACTCAACTATCGCTGTAAATTTCTACTTTAACTTACTGCTGGTGGAGTTGAAAATACTGGCTGGTGAAGAGGATAACGTACCCATATTGGTTGTGGGGCCATAGCCGTTGGCGGCCACCGTAGCACCATAAGAGCCGCCCGAACTGTGTGGCGTAGAAGCGCTGCTGCAATAGCCGCCACGTGGACTCACGCTGCTCGATTGAGCGCGCTGATAATCATCTTCGGTCCATTGGCCAGCGGTATCCTGAACGCTGACAGCCAGCTGGCCGGTATATGAATTAAAGCCGGTCGAGCCACCGGGAGATCTAAGAGATAATGAGAAACAAAAGTAATTGCATAAGTTTTATGTAGAAGACAGTGAAGTACTGAGCTTGAGGCTTACTACCTTGGCATGGAATACAAGGCCTCGACCAAATCGGCTGCGCGTTTGAGTATAATTTCCTTTTGTAATTTTTCGGGATCGCCAGGATGACGTGGTATAAGTTTTTGTAGACGTTGAAAACCGTAATCGATGGTCGGCTCATTGAGCGCTGCTTAAAGAGAAGAGAGATAAATGCAAAATGAACTATTTAGTAAAGTTGAGTTACATAAAATATTAAATTTTTTAATAACAATTTATTTTTACTCACAAACATAAACAAATCGGCCCGGCGAACCTTTGCAGAATTGTTTGCTCTTATACGACAAAGTCACCTCCACCACACCGGGTATGTGACGTGGTGGTGTTTGCACACGAATGGCATGCGATGTAATCAATTCGCTCCAAACGAGCATTGTGCCAAAGACCACTTGGAGGCCATCAAAGAAATTATCACCCACTATAATAACGGTTGCGCCGCCAGAGGTCCAACCCTCGCTGGGTGAAATCGCTTTGATGCAGGGCGTGGCCACGGGCAATGGTGGATAGAGCCCTGTAGCGATAAAGAATTAATAATGCATTCTTAGTAAATTGTGTGATATATAATATTGCGGGTAATGATACGCGGGAAAGGGAAACGTGACAATGTGTACGACCGTATTGTTATTTAGCGAATTCGAAACAAATTAAGCTAATAATATTATAATGAAATTTGAAAAATAAAAATAATTATGGCTAAAAATTAATATGCCCCTGAAAGTATGCCAATATATATGTATATATTTCAAACGCAGAGGCATACATTTAGGCGCAATAATATTTTTTTATATTTTTAATTACTGCTAAGTTTTAATTACTACGAAATTCAAAATTTGTAGATTATTATTAATTTGAAATAATATGGTTAATCTACTGCAACATTCTCCAATTCTACTATTTTTTGTACTAAACAACTAAAAAACCGAAAATAAATTGTAAAACAATTTTGTTACGGACCATCATAGGTACTGTCAGGCGCAAGTGGGTGACCCGTTAAGGACAGGGAGGAGTTTCCTGTACCTTCCGTGGTATCCAAACGTTTGGCGCGGCGTCCATGTTTCGAATTGTTGTGTACGAACATATTATCGGATATAGCCAATAGCGGGCCATCAACGGTCACTTGGGTCGAGATGACAACCTAAGGGAGTAAAATTTTTTATTAAATGCTCAGAATTTTTAGAATTTAAATTAAAAAGTTACCGAGTAAATAAAATTTTCGGAAGTTTTTCACAGTAAAAATTAAAAATATCTGAGTTAATTATTTTTATTTTTAATATAATTTTTTTAAAGCACGTTAAAAAAATCCCGAAATTTCGGGATTCGTAAAATGTTTCGTGATTGAATGCCTATTAATGAATATTTTTTATGACACATATTTGAAATTAAACTAGAAGTATTTATAAATATATGTATCAAAATTAAAAAAAAATTATATATGCAATAAGCCAGCGATATGCTGAACAAAATTTTTTACATATTACTAAATATCAAAAAAAAGTAATTTTATATATGTATATTATATGTTGTATTCAATTTTTAATTACTAATTTACATTAAAGCATTAAAAAATAATATTTTTTTTGGTTAAACATATCCAAAGCTACCTGTATCTGTACACAAATAAATACTTTTAAGTACCGTACCTGAAAGCGTCTCATATCTCGGGGATTGCCGGCGTTCTTTAAACAGTTTTGATTGCATTTCAAAAAGAATTTCAGGAAAAATCTGTAAAAATGGAAAATATGCAAAAAAATGTACATTATTAAAAGTGGTAGAGGACATATTAGGTACTTCATGAAAAATAAAATATTTATTAGAAAAAATATGATTTTTTTTTTAATTTTTGATATCTTTATATTTTTTATTCGAAGTTTTTAATTTTATTCATTTTTTCAATCTACAAATTTTTAAAAACAAAAATCATAATTAATTTCTTTAACAAATTGTCTCTCTCTTGCAATTTTCACCGCTCTATTTAATGACATAACCCCACTTAGTTTCACTTTGTCTTCATTCTATCATTTACCTTAGGCAATATGTTAGTGATAAGCATTTTCATGTCAACAACATTGGAACAATAGAACTTGTTTTGACAATCAATTAACCACTAGAATCATAAACCGTAAACAACAAACAACTAACTAAGATAACAACAGACAAACAGAATTTACAACTGTCATATCATAGTTTTATAAAAAGCTTTGGTTTTGTAGACAGTCCTAATAATATTAAAAAAAGTGGACGTATCTCGAACTAAAATATATATTGTAGAGTAAAATGATATACGATCCCAACTCACTTTCAGCTTTACTCATTTAGCCATCATGTTTGAGACAATGCAGAGATTGTACCGTTCTCAATTTGGTTCCCAATTTCTTTGACAATATCAGCTGTTTTCCACACCATTCACCGTTGACAATTTTTAGTAAAGCAGGCTGCTTGTTTAGTGTTGAGTATTTTTTGATTTTGGTTCTAGGACCTTTTTGATAGTAAGACCTACATACACCTACATATACCGAAAATATATCCAATAAAAAAACTTCGAACGAAAGTTTCACTTTTAGAACTTAGTACAAGCCTCTGCAACTCGGACACTTGCCGAGCAGGTTAAGTAAACTAAGTATTATATAATAACACTTATATTATATGATTTCCTTTAGCAACATATAGTTTTTTTAAGGGATAATTTGAGGATCTCTTAGAAAAAGTCAGTTTTACGCCAAATAAGATAAAGTGTGGAGAAAACATGCTTCTTAAACTGGCTTAACTACCGGTAAACAGTTTAGGGGAACGAAGAGCAACGAAGTAATTGCGTCAAACTTTTATTATTATTATTAATTAGCCACTCTGCGTGCTTTCCGATACGAATAATGATATTCAATTGGCTTAAGTTGTATATTTAAAATAATATTTAGCTTACTTTCATATTGCCGCGAGCGATAAAAGCAACAATACACCTATTCAACGCTAACAAAATAGTGTCAAACACTCTCTCTGCCTCAAGCCTTCCTCCCACCCTTAATCTTCTCAATCCTTATAATGAATAATAAGGAAAACAGATGTTTGCCTCGCGGCGTAAAAGTTTATTTGCCTCTTTAGTTGGGCGCTTTTTCCTATACCTATGACCTCGAGCGCTTTTCGCCAGTTGATCTTAATCAAATATACACTTAGAAGTACATTTGTATGACAGCAGGCAGTCCGGTGTCGTGTCAGATTGTCCTTTTGGTGCGGATGTGTGCGTGTTCGCTCCTGCGGCGCTCATGCTTAGCGCTGTGACGTTTAAGGGTGAAAGAGTGCCAGAGTGCAAGGAGCAACGCTGCCGCCATTGCCGTGTGTTAATAACAAATCAGCTGAAGTGGCGTACACCGGAAGCCGGTGATACTCTTACTTATGTGCATAAACAAATAAACTTAAGCACTTAAGTGGTGCATGTGAGAAAGTAAGTATGGGTGTATGTGTGTATATACTCTATGAATGCGCCTAGTATTGTTTACCAATTTGTTTATCCCATTGAGGGTGTTAATAGATGTAAATTATATTAATGAATGCGCAGCTATTTCGTTTTGCTCCACGACAAATGTCGAGTTTTTACATTTTTTGGACTAATATTTCAACACTTCGATATCGTATTAAGAAAATTGAGGAAATAAGAGGCACTCGCATGTAAATTTTGTAGACAAATGCTGCGCGTCTCGTATTTCTGCTATTGATTAACTACTTTGAGCCAACTGGAGGGTGGGAGAGGAAATGTTTGCTGATTCTGCGTTGAAAAATTATTCCGGTAAGGTTTATATTTCAATTTTTTTTTAAATATCAGAAATGAACAGATGCACAATTTAATCAATGGTGATGGAAGTAGAGAAAAATACCGCTACTTGTGGATTGGTAAGAGTTTTAAAGCGGTTCATGATCTTATTATAATTTCTCCGCTTAAACTTTGGTTGATAATTGTATCAGGATCTTTTCCTATTTAAATATAGCATATTCCTTTTAGATACTCATAATCTTTTTATGGACACTTTTGCTAAGTCCTTTTGTCCATTTCAAGTCTTTTGATATCAAAAGATACTAGTTTTCGAAGCTATGTTAAGCATTTGCAATCCAATTATTTTCTAAATAACTGAGAGTACGGAGATATTTCCCAGTAGGCTGGAGACACTTCTACATATATTTGTTTTAAAAAAATTTCAATCAAAAATGTCTGAATTCCGATACCGATAACAAATTTTAAATCCGGAAATTGCGGTATTTGTTTTAAAATGTTTGCATTCCAAATTGCCTGCATCCCTCTGAAATTTCGACATTTGTTTTTAAAATATTGCATTCTAAAATGACTGAATCCCGACCCCGTTTTGTCAGTCCCCGAATTTCGGAATTTTTCAAAAAAATTTTGCGAATAAAAATGCCGGTATTCCGATACTGATCCCCATTTTTCAATCCCGAAACTCCGGTATTTGTTTTAAAGATTTTGCAATCCAAAATGACTTAATCTCGATCCCGATTTTTCAGTTCCTAAAATCGAGATTTCTTCATAAGTTTTGCATTCCAAAATGTCTGAAACCCGTTCCCAATGTCGATTTTTCAATTCCGAAACTTCAGTAACTATTTTAAATATGTTGCAAACCAAAATGACTTAATCTCGATCCCGATTTTTCAGTCCCGAAATTGCGGGATTTCTTTTAAAAATTTTGCCATCAAAAATGTTTGAATTCCGACCCGATCTCGATTTTTCAATACAACAATGGCATGACAGTATGACCAGCGTTCTATTCTTATAACACCCCCTCGCTGGCTACTGCGACTTAAGACTTTAAATATCAAAATTTTTACTTTATTTGCATAAAATTCTGTATAAATTGTTAATGCTTTATAAACATTAATTTTGTTAAAAATTTAAAATTTAATTGCTTCTCAGTATAAAATCAGAGCTGATTGAACCTATACATATGTATAGACAGATACGTACAAGCAAAAACTTGCTTTTTCCTATCATAATACTATATCATGGAAACATAATATTTGACCTGCTTGTGGCTGCTTGTGGCCATCTGCTTTCGTATTTCTTATCTAAAAACGGAGCAATGTTTCAAACTGTGATACTTTTTAACGAAACCATGTATGCGCGTATGTACCTCTTTGCGATTTGTTTGTTTGTGGATAACTGGACCATATTTTGTCATAGATAAGGCAATTGGTGTGTAAAAGAAGTACTTATTGAGCTTTAGAAGTACATATATGGCAATTTTAATTATGGTAAAAAAAAATTAAAAAATTGAGGTTCTATATTTAGGCTGAGGTTTAATATTTATGGATAACGAAAACAAAAGTCATTATCAAGAATGCAAAGGCAATGTGGTCCAACGAAATATATCGCAAATTCTGCTTTGAAGAACACAGTGTCCGTTAAATATTATCGCCGCAAACTACGCATGAATTATCGATGCTAAGAAATTTTATGTAGTGTAGCAGGAAACTCTACTTCAAAAGGGCTCTGTTTTGTTTTAAAAAGTAATAATTTTTTCTTCTAAATTTGATAATTTTTGTTTTTAATTATAATAAATTTTAAAAAATTTCAGAATTTTCAAAATACAATTTTTATTTAAACCATTTGGTAACTGTATTACAAACGAGTAACTATTTTTTTCTTAGGATTGTGAGCTTATGTTACATTAATTTGTATTGGAAATAATAAACATTTTGGTATATATTTAATTGAGACATGGTTGGCAACTCTGCTGCATAAATACTTAAAGAAACAATTGATTAAAGTAATAAACATCATTTGCTTAATTAATATCAAATACATTTTGTATTTCCTTAGAAATTTTAAGTAAAAAATTATGAATTAGTTGGCAACTGTGTTTTTGATATAAATGTATGTATACCAAATAATATTGAATACCAAATAATATTGAATAATATTATACCATTAATATTAATATGAATTATATTTTTTCTTTCCTTAGAAATTTGGAGTAAAAAATTCGAAGTAGTTGGCAGCTCGGTTTTGTAAATGCATGGGAATCAATTAATATTAAGTAATCTTTTATTATTATTATTTTATCAAATAATATTAAGAAATATTATATTTTTAATATAAATATCAATTTTTTTATTTTCCTAGAAATTTGGAGTATACATTTATGAATATTATTTTTATTTCATAAGAAATTTGGAATAAAAAAATTCGAAGTAGTTGGCAGCTCGGTTTTGTAAATGCATGGGAATCAATTAATATTAAGTAATATTTTATTATTAATATTTTATCAAATAATATTAAGAAATATTATATTTTTAATATAAATATCAATTTTTTTATTTTCCTAGAAATTTGGAGTATACAATTATGAATGAAATGGCAACTCTGTTTGGTAAATGCGTGAATATCAAATAATATTAAGTTTTATATTTTTTTATTAATATTCATTATTTTTATTTATTTCCTTAGAAATTTGAAGTAATATATTACGTATGTGTTGGCAGCTCTATTTTGAAAATGCGTGAATATCAAAAAGTATTTGATAAAATAATATTAAGATATTATATTTTTAAAATTAATATAAATTTTTTAATTTTCCTAGAAATTTGGAGTAAACAATTATGAATGAGTTGGTAACTCTGTTTTGTAAATGCATGAATATCAAAAATTATAGAGCAATATATCAAATCCAGATGTTCACTGGGACGCATACAGCTGTTATTATGTAGATACAAATATATATAGG